AGCGGGTCTGGCCTAGGGAGAATTTTAAATAGGGATAATTTTAATTTGAATCTTAATTAACTATACAGCGACAAATATTTGGTTTTTAATTGGTTTTATGGGGAATGACGTTTGTGTGTTTTAATATGCTGTGAGCCGCCCTGAGTCCTATAGGGAGAAGGGCGGCATATAAGTTTAAATAATAATAATAATAATAATACAGGAGCCCTCGTGCCATTCTGGACAAACTGTGTGCCAGTCTTTTCTTGCAAACAGCACAAATGCAGCGCCATGCCCCCCCAGGCTAGAAAATGAGGCAGGCCCTGCTTATCTCTTTTATCATTCTTGTACTCCAGCATTATTGCACTGGGAAGAGGCAGGTGGTGCCTTTGTGTCTGGCTTTCTGATTTCTCAGCACCTAGGAACCACCCACAGGTTCCACGCCCATGCACTGCCCTTCAGACACTCTTGCAGAAACAAGAATGTTTGCTAAAACCCCAAAAGACCCGTCCACAAAGATCTGGGTGACCTCAGTTCTCTCCTGAATGCAAATTCCTGTGTGAGAGCGGAATGGAAGCATCTTGCAAGCTTTGGCTGATCTCCTGCCTAGTTCGTGCTGGGATGGGAGGCCACTGAGGAATCCGAGACCTGGAAGTGAATCTGGGAAGAAGAAAAATATTCCAGGAGTCCATCTTTCCATAGGCAACCCCAAGATCTGCAGAGTTGTGGCCCTGGGGTCACTCACTCAACTTGGAAGGGACTTTTCTTTGGAGCTGTTTTAAGATCTTTGGGTTCCAAACGGTCCCAGTTGATGTGACAGATTTTGCTCAATTCTGGCTAATGCCAAGCCAGGCAAGAGAACCCAAAGGCTCTGGGTCAGGGTCCAAGGCCTGGATCCCTCCCTCATTTGATAAATTACAAAAGATGAGGGGGGTCAAACTATTTTCCAAAGTACCAAAAAGGCAAGACAAGAAGTGATGGATGGAAACTATTCAAGGAGAGAAGCAACCTAGAACAAAGGAAAAATTTCCTAACAGAGAGAACAATCAATCAGTGGAACAACCTGCCTCCAGAAGTTGTGGGTGCTTCATCACTGGAGGCTTTCAAGAAGAGACTAAATAGCCATTTGTCTGAAACAGTATAGGGTCTCCTGCTCAAGCAGGGGACTGGACTAGAAGACCTCCAGGGTCCCTTTCAACTCTATTATTCTATTTTGTGTTCTATGTCTGGACACAGCTATTTCTCTCGAATGGTGTAGTACGATCTCCTGCTGTGGTACAGGGTTGGACTAGAAGATCTCCAAGGCCCCTTCCAACTCTGTTATTCTGTATCTATATATGAGAGGAAAATTTTGTATATGAGAGGCGAATCAGATTTTATGCAGATGCATTTGTCAGGATTCTTCTTACGGCAACATATTTATGGGACCGGTTGTAACAACTTTTCAGTTTGACAATTTGGAGCCATCTGTGTGCTAGTAAACATCAAAAGGAAGAGAAAAACAACAGGCTTGGGGGGAAGCCAAATGTGTCTTTATTTTGTTTACTGAAACATAAAATGCCACTTGAAAGGCTGTGTGATTAACAGATGGAAAGAGAGTTAAAATACAGACACAAGAGTGAAAGATTTCACCAGCCAAATTGGAAGTCTTTGCAGGCCAAAATAATCCTCTAAAGCAGAGGTCTCCAAGACTTGTGGACTTCAACTCCTAGAATTTCCCAGCCAACTGCCAAGATTGGACACTCTTGGTCTAAAGGAGCAGAGTGTAAACTTGGCCTCTTAGGTGTTGAGTTGTCTATTGGGGGGGGGCACACTTTGAATGTGGAAAGGACTGGGACCTATTTCAAAAAGGAGTTTTGCAAACCTGAAGTGGGTGTCTTAAGCAGCTACAAACTTTTTTTTTTGTCTCCTTCAGCTTCCAATAATAATAAAAAGAAACCCTTGATTTTGGCTCTTCCCGTTCTAAAGGCCAGAAGATGCCGCTGTGTGTTCTACCTGGGAAAACAGCAGCTCCTCTCCAGGGTGAACAAGAGGTGTCCACAGGATGTGGTCAAAAGTCAAGATGGTGGCCAGAACTATGATTGAAGCAGGGAATACACATAAAAAGCAAGCAGAGTTTCAAACACACCATTGTGGTCCCCATCCTGACTTTCTGACCTTAGACTCTGGACACCTCAGGAGGAATTAAGCAGGTATCAGAATAGAGCTGGAAGGGACCTAATCCCATCCTCTGCTCAAGCAGCAGACCCTCGACCATTTGAGACAAGGGGCTGTCCAGTCTCTTCTTAAAAGCTTCCAGTGCTGGAGCACCCACAACTTCTGAACACAAACTATTCCATTGATTAATTGTTCTCACCGTTAGGAAGTTTCTCCTTAATTCCAGGTTGCTTCTCTCCTTGATTGGTTTCCATCCCATTGTTTCTTGTCTTGCCTTCTGGTGCTTTGGAGAATAGGTTGACCTATTTTCTTCTTTGTGGCAGCCCCTCAAATACTGGGATACTGCTATCATGTCCCCCCCCCCCAGCCCTTCTTTTCTCCAGACTAGCCAAACCCAAATCCTGCAGTCGTTCTTCATAGGTTTTAGTCTCCAGAGACCTTTAATCATCTCGAAATACTTCTGAGGACAGGAAAGCCTCTTCCAGGTAGGCATCTCCTTGGGCAGGCATGTGGAGACCACAGGAGGAAGATGCCTTGTCCTGGCCATCTTAATGTGCCCATCAGATGTGCCAATTTGCCAGTGGTGGCATAAGAATGACCCCCCCCAAAAAAGCTCTGTCCAACCAATAAAACCAATAAAACCCTTAAGGCGAAGGCCTGATCCAACCACATGCTGGTCACGATTGACTTCCCATTGCAACCTTATTTGTGACGTGGGGTGCAAGGAATACTACAGACCAACAGCTCTGAAAATAATCATCCTCTCTAAGGGTGAAGATGGGAAGTGGCATTTGTCTGTTAAATGTGTTGCTCCCTTTTTCTGGTAAAAAGGTGCCCCCTCTGAACCTGTCCACAAATAATGCCATGTGCTTGTGAAGTTGGGATGCCCTGTGCCTTACCTTCCTACCCCTGCTCTTCTCTCCCCAGATGAGTTTCCACGATGACCAGGGCAGCTACATGGCCAATGACCGCAGCAGTGCCAGCGAGGGCTTGAGCAGCAGCGAAGGGAGTTCCCTGACCTACTCCATCTTGTCAGACCACCTCCCCCCGCCTCCAATCAGCCCACCCCCCAGACCTCCACAGTTCCGTGACCCCCAGAAAGAGCCCAGGGCCACCGAAGCGGCCCAGAGTGCTCCCTCCGGCCCCCATCCCACAGCCCAGCTGCCCCCGCCTCCTCCCCCGCCCCCTCCTCCCCCAATGCCCTGCGTGCCCCCTCCAATGCTGCAAGGAAGTATTCACCGCAGGAGCGAGTCCAACCACATGAGTGTTAAGCGGCTGCGCTGGGAGCAGGTGGAGAACTCGGAAGGCACCATCTGGGGTCAGGTAGGATCAGAACCCCCAATGGAGGTACACGTGTGGGAGAAGGAACGGCTGGACCCGGGGAGAGGGCGGAGTGAAAAGAGGGATCAGCCTAGAATCCCTACATAGCCACAAGCCAACTAGGTCAATCCCTCTTGAGTGCCATTGACCCTTATCCAAGTGCTGACCGTTAGCTGAGAAGATTCCTGCGCATTGGCAGTAAATCATGTGCGGACCTGGTCTTTCCTGCCTGACAGCTCATCCCCACCTTGTCCCACCCTGACTCCTGCTTTGTGGAAACCCTCTGGGCTTTCCATTCTGCCTGATGGAAAGCCTGAAGGGTGCACACCCTGCAGCAACCTATGCCAATTAGTGGCATTATTTTAAACGCTGTGCTAAGCTTTCCCTGTTCTTTCCGTGTACATTTCTATGGTTACGAAAAGAGCAGATGAGCTGTATTTTGGGCAGTCTCAAACCCAGGGGTCTCGGTTGTAAAGCTGTTTGGGCAGGGAGATGCCCCACCCTTTTCTGCAGATTGTCCTCTTGTTGCTTTGGTGGGGGGGGGAGTGAGAGGTCAATAAGCGCTATTTGGCCCCCAAAGAGAACTGCTCATTCCTCTTGCAGGCCTGGCCATTTGGGGAGAGGCGGGCGAGCTTGTCAGTAGCTCCTCCTTCGGGTTCCCTTGAGGTCCTTCCTTTGTGGCCTTGGGGCCACCCTCTGCTTGGTTGGGGGGGGTTAATGCGAAGTGCTGGGCAGCCGGCACTTGGGCCGAATGGGCATCGGCCAGGGAGCCCAGCACCAAGGGCCCTTTGAAGAGCCGAGGTGTGACGGACTCTCATGGTAAAGAAAAAGACAGACACAAAGCTGCCTCGGATGAGAGTCGAGAGAGAAGAAATCCACAAGTGAAGTCTCTCCCCCTGGCTCTCTTTTATTAGCATACATCAAAGCAAATTGCAGGCAGAAGGCTTTAGCAGGGGGGTGAGCTGGGGTTAGAGACAGCCAAAGTTTTACAAAATGTATCTTATCTAATACATGGCATAAGCGACTAACAGTTCACAGTAAAAGTTGCCATTATGGTTCGCACTGTAAGGTCTTATCAGGAAGTGATAATATTATAACTTGTGTAGACAGCACTTTTGACTTGTCCCTTTGTACTCTGTTCTACGTGTGTGCAGCTGCTAATTGCAACCTAACACGTAAGCATAAAGAATGTAAGATTAAGCATACTGAAGGTTACAAGATGGAGTGACTTATGCTATATTCCAACACCGAGGGTGGGTTTGGCTCTTGGCCTGACGGCTCCTTCCTTCCTTCCTTCCTAGCTCGGGGAGGATTCTGACTACGACAAGCTGAGCGACATGGTCAAGTACCTGGACCTCGAGCTGCATTTTGGAACTCAGAAGCCAGCCAGTGAGTCGGTGGCCTCTGCCGCAGCAGGGGCTTCGGGGAAGGAGGCTTACTTTAGTGGGGAGGGGGTAGTAGAAGCAGCTCGCCTTGGCATTCGGTGGGGCCGCAGCTGACTCTTACCCAGCCTGGGGTGGGGGCTGCACACAGGGTGGATTTGCTTCGCTCTGTGGGGCTTCTCCCGTCTCGGTGCTGCCCCATATATGTCCCACAAACCCTTCACTTAGTGCAGGGGTAGGCAACCTTGGCTCTTTTATGACTTGTGGACCTCAACTCCCAGAATTCCTGAGCCAGCATGGGGGAACTATGGCCCCCTCATGACTCGTGGACTTCAACTCCCAGAATTCCTGAGCCAGCATGGGGGAACTATGGCCCCCTCATAACTGGTGGACTTCAACTCCCAGAATTCCTGAGCCAGCATGGGGGAACTATGGCCCCCTCATGACTGGTGGACTTCAACTCCCAGAATTCCTCAGCCAGCATGGAGGAACTATGGCCCCCTCATGACTGGTGGACTTCAACTCCCAGAATTCCTGAGCCAGCATGGGGGAACTATGGCCCCCTCATAACTGGTGGACTTCAACTCCCAGAATTCCTGAGCCAGCATGGGGGAACTATGGCC